TTTTTTTTTTTTTTTTTTTTTTTTTTTTTTTTTTTTTTTTTTCTCGTCATTGGGGGCCGTCTATATATATTTTCTCTCACCTGTATTTTGTATGTTGAATGTTGTGCAGTTCTCCTTGGGGGACGTCTATATATATTTTCTCTCACCTGTATTTTGTATGTTGAATGTTGTGCAGTTCTCCGGCAATTTGGACTCCTGGCCTCACATTAAGGAGCTCATCCATACCTACAAGACCGATTGGATTTACCCGGAGTTCAAGTATGGCCATTTTTACCCCATCCCTCCTCCAGAGTTTGAGCCTCAAATTTTTGAGCAGGAGGACTCAAACCTAGAAGCAGGTATGCTATGGATTTTGCGCGAATGCCCCTCAAATCTTGCCTTTGTTGGTTTTTCTTTGTGCCTATCTGGCAGCGGCTGAAACTAGTAGGGGACAGCCAGGCACCTTCACTTCGGTGTGGTTTTGAGGTTTGGAGGTGACACCATAGTTAGCTATGGCACTTTTGTGCTCAACGCTTATCTTCAGTTGAGTTTCGAGTTACGTTTGTTTTTTTCACATACTGTGCCGTGCTTATCATGGTTATCATGGTTATGTGCGTATTTGCTCTGTTGTCAGTTTTCCTGCTGGCTTCGCTTTTCTTCTCATCATTTGTGCCTATGCTCATCACCAGGTGGAAACTTGTTTTGTTGAGAAAAATGCAGACGCGACACTCGTGCGAAAAGCATTTTCGAACGTTCCTCCTTGCTTGCTCCGCCACATGGATTGGATTTACCCAGAGTTCACAGAGAAGGCCTTTTTTTTTTTTTTTACTACGTACTTTTTTTTTTTGAAAAGCGTCACGTGATTAATTGCGAAACACGGCAGGAGAGACCGGGGAGTACACAGACAGCCATTTTTACTGCATCGTTTGTATTCGAGTTCCATCATGTATGCCTGCTATCACATAACTGACATTGGCGGTGTGTCCAGCCCCCGGCCGGCCGAACATCTGCGCCCTGCACTGTCCTCGACACCCCTCGACACCTTTTTAAAAAACATTGGTGCTATTGCTATTGCTATTGTGTGCCCTCTAAAACTCGATCTCCTTGAAAACGAAAAAAACCCTCGATTGTTTTGTCTCCCCTCCTCTGGATCTATGGCCCTGCCAGTATGATCGAGACTGTATGGCCATTCGAATGGTCTGGTGTCGCATATCTGAGTAGAAAATCTTTCGAGCTACGTCCAAAATGAGTAAAAAGTTATCTGGGCTACCGCCCGCGCCGCCCGGGCCGCATTGCTGCTGCCCAGGCGGCCGACCGGGCCGCATTGCTGCTGCCCAGGCGGCCGACCGGGCAAAGGCCAGGCAAGGTCAGTGCAAAAGAGACGAAAAAGTTCTGGAAAAAAAAGGAATATGTTATGCAGATATAATAAACTAACAACTTTGCCTCAGGGTTGCACCAGAATGCTTTACCGAATCTAAAATGAAAAATACCCCCTGAAATTCTTTAGTGCCTTTTACAGAATTGAAAATTAGAAATAGAATAAAATACATAAGTTATAGTAATAATTATTATTTGGCCAAGGTGCAATGAACCCAGATCGTGAAGACAGTCGTCAACAATGCAAGCCCAGATAAATGTCCATCGGCTGATGATTACCAATAGTCAAAATCGTAACCAGACAGAATGAGATGAGGTAATCATACACAGATGAAGAGAGGGGAGGGAGATGAGACAAAGGAGAGGAAAGTACAATGCCCACTCCTGCTTCGGGCTCCCTCCTCGACTACCACCTCAATAATCAATAGTCTGAACAAGTATCCGAAGTAGCCTCAATGTGCCACGTGGCACGTCTAATTAGTCCCTCATCAGCGCTGGAGCAATGTCGACATGAAGATCATCAGGTACGTGTCCACGATCTCTCCACAGTCCCGATCTCCTCCCGAAGGACGATAATTAGAACAGCAATACAAGTCCCGTAGCCTCGCCTCGTCAGCCACAATAGAACAGTGGCAGCAGCCACGTCATCCAATAATACACGTGGCAGTGGCCACTTCCGCGACAGCGCATGGCAGCTGCCACGTCAGCATGCCAAGAAGACAGGTGCAAGCCAGCCACCATGCCGGACCAGCAGCGCCTCGCCGAATCACAAATGCCAGCGTCGCAGCGTCGAACCAGCGTCGCAGCATCGAGCCAGCCTTGAAGTCAACGCGTGAAGTCAGCATCAACGCAAGACAGAATGAAGGAATGTCAAAGCCAGGGAGGTCAATGCTTTAAGTAGCGTTGACTCGGGGTCTGGACCTCGGATGCTGCAACCTTGAGCCATCCAGATCTTGATACAAACGAAGTCTCAGATTGGCCTGAACTGAATTCCCTTCGGCCTGGATGCTTGTCTGGGTACCTGCGCACAACAAGTGAGTGTATCCAACCAAGGGCCTGGGCGTGGTACCTTTGACTCTACAGTTGACTTTGACCCTTGACTTTCCTGGGTGCAGCGTTTGGTCACACAACCAAACGCGACAGACTCAGGCCTGGGCGTGTCCTGGTCGCACAGCCCAGCGCAGACCAACTGTGGACTGCGTTGCCGGGGGCTGAGTTCTGAGCCCCAGACTACTTCTGAACAGGGTTACTGCAGTCCTGCCGACCCATTTTCGAGTTCCACCGCATAAATTTTTAAGACTTTAACCCTCGTTCATAAGCAGCAACAATATCAGGAGCAGTTTCAAGTAGTTTTCTTTTACTAAACCATCTGGCCTCAGATGGTGCCTGAGACTTAAAACGTACCTTGAACTGCTTCTGAGGTCGTCCATGTGCTCCCGTAGAGAAGTATCCATGCTCTATGATTTTGTCTACTTCATATCTGCCTTCCATAGATGGTGGAATCATAGAGGGTCTGTTAGGAAATTCATTTCCTTCTACATAGGGTAACAATTTGGACACGTGAAAAACAGGATATGTTTTGAGATGTGGGGGATATCAATGCGATAGGACGGTCCCTCTGCATGTCCAATTACTTTGAGAACTTCCCAGGGTCCAAAATAGACAGGAAGCAATTTTTGGGACACATCTTTCTTTAGTGAAAACTCTTTGGATTTTACCCAAACCAGATCACCCTCTTTAAATGTAGACGGTCGGCGGTGCTTGTTGGCTTGTTCAATCATTCGTAGTTGAGCTTTCCTTAGATTATCTTTAGCTTTCTGAATGTCCTCCTGGAACAATATTGCATATTCTCGGGTCCCTGGGGCAACCTAAGGAACTGATCCCGGTTTAGTACATCAATTGGACGGTTAGGTTTCCACCCTTTGTGAAGTGCATTCGGGGTTCGTCCAGTGGAAGTATGGACACTATTGTTATATGCACTTGCAATTTTGGGCAAGTTCTCGTCCCAATCAATCTGAACGGGTCTATCATACATACGCAAAAGCTGCTGGCACAGACGGTTCATCTATTCAGTCTGGCCATTCGTTTCGGGATGGTTTCCTGACGACATGTCAGCCGCGTGCCATAAGCTTCCACCAGCTTTTGCCATGGCAGACTAGTGAACCTGACATCTCGATCAGACACAATGGATTTAGGGAATCCATACTTAGTGACCCATCGCATTTGAAATTTCTGAATGACAAGTTCAGTACGCGCTTCTGCTCGTAAGGGAACAAACATAGCATATTTAGAGAAACGGTCCACAATTACCATCACTTGACTATTACCATTGCGACTTTTAACCAGACTCATGAAGTCAATTGAGATAGACTCACCTGGTTCACTTGGTATAGGTAATGGCTTGAGAAGTCCTAGAGGATTCTCATGCGACGGCTTGTTTCTGTGACACACTAAACAGGTACGAACATATGTTAGTACATTTTCTTTAAGTCCCTTCCATTCGAAATGTTCTCCGACTTCAGCATATGTTTTCTTGAAACCAAAATGACCTTCAAAATCGTGACATTCCCCAATCAACAGACTCTTAATCTTTTCCTTATGAGGTATACACAATCTTTGCTCGGTTTGGTGAATCAAGAACAACAACCCATCAGGTAGTTGGGACGGATCTCGTACAAGGATATCCATGATTGGTTTCCAGATAGGATCAATAGCATATCCTTGGCGAATTTGGTCTTTCAGGTGATTCCCAACATCTAAGTAAGAGACAATTGCACCAAAGAAATCACTACGTCGGGATAAAGCATCTGCAACCACATTTGGCTTACCTTTGATAGTTTTGAGCTCAAAGTCAAAGGTGTCAATGAAGGCAGACCATCTTATCAACTTGTCAGAGATTGTAGACTGTGTTTTTATCCACTGTAGTGTTGAGAGGTCTGAATACACAGTAAAGTGTCTCCCTAACAGGTAGTGTTTCTACGTATCCAACGCAAATATTAGGGCATGAAGTTTTCGTTCATATGTGGAGTTGGCAACCTTCTCTGATGGCAATCGTGTAAACATAAACTCTATGGGCCTATAACCCTTGCCATCATCCTGTTGGAGAACAATGCGAATCCCATACTGACTTGCGTCAGTGGTAACAATGAAAGGCAAGGACGGGTCAACAATCTTAAGGATGAGGTAGTGAGTTAGTGCATACTTCAATTTTCGAAAGGAAGGCTCACAATCCTTATCCCACAACCAGATAGTTCTTTCTTTAACAATCTTCACATTGGTGCAGCAATCAGTGAGAAGTTCCTAACAAACTTCCTGTAATAACTGGCTAAACCAAGGAAAGATCGCAATTCAGTTATAGGGTTAGGTTGTGGCCAATCTTTAATTGCTGAAATTTTTTTCTCTTCCAACCTTAGACCTTTTTCGTTCACTATGTGTCCTAGGTATAACACTTCGGACTTAGCAAACTCAGACTTTTTGGGATTGATCTTGAAGTTGCCTTCTCGCAACTTCCCTAGCACCAGACGAAGGTGCTTCTCATGATCTTCTAGTGTCTTACTATACACAAGAATATCATCGAGATAAACAATTGCAAACTTATGTAACCATTGATAAAAGAGTTCATTCATAGACCTTTGAAAGGTTGTTGGGGCATTAGTCAGTCCGAAGGGCATTACCAGAAACTCATAATGACCATACCTTGTTCGGAATGCGGTCTTATGTTGATCCGTGGGTTCCACCTTAATCTGATGGTACCCTGACTTCAGATCAATCTTACTAAAAAACTTACAGCCCTGCAACTGGTCTAGTAAGTCGTCAATTCGTGATAGAGGTTCGACATTCTTAACAGTGAGAGCATTCAACCCTCTGTAGTCAATACAGAGACGCAACTCACCTTCCTTTTTGGACACAAAGAAGACAGGGGCACCATAAGGAGAGGAGCTAGGGCGAATCCATCTTTTTTTTGTTAAGTCTTGTAGTTGCTTTTGCAATTCCTCAAGTTCCCTAGGAGACATTCGATAGATAGGGCCCTTGGGAATCTTACTGTCAAAAATAATTTCAATTGTGTGCTTGATAGCATGTTCAGTTATTCCTGTTGGTTCGGTAAATAAATCTTTAGACTCGCTTAGGAGTTTTTCAGCCGAAGGAGGATAGGAAGTAGAAGATTCACCTGCTTTTTTTAGGAAGTAGAAGATTCACCTGCTTTTTTTACTAGAACTGTCATTACTTCCTGTTCCAACTTTTTCTTTGAAACCATGGATCGAAATGCTGGATAACTCATACAACAGAAAGACAGACTAGAGTCAGAGCCAGACTTATGGTACATTTTGATAGGTTTCAATTTAGAGTGTGCATCTCGCAATTGCACAATCTTCTCTTTGAAATTGATATCTGGGTTGGCTTCCTCGTGCCAGTCCATTCCCATAATCAAATCAAAAGGTAACTTCTTTTCTACAAGAAAGGAAACCTCGTGAACAATCTTCTTTCCTTTCTTCGTACGAAATTGACACTTCACACGATCAACATATTGCGAGACAATGATCGTGCTTTTGTCAGCTAGGATATACGTGATTGGTCGAGATAGATTCTTTACCTTCATTCCGAGATGCAACTTGCGGATTGCTTTTTCGGATATGTAGGATCGCGTGGATCCCGAGTCCAACAGAGCACCTGCGTGGGTATGTGCAATTTTTATGCCCGCGAGTAGTAGGTCACCCTGAGACTTTGATTTCTTAGCCCACGAGCTTCGTAATGCCAACAACTCGTTACCAAGCTCGTCAAGAGAGTTGTCCAGAGAGAGTGCATAAGACAGGTTCAGGGTGTTTTGGACGATGGGCCGGAGAAGAACCATCCTCTGCCATGCGAGTCAAAGGGTTGGAAGGGATCGTAGGCGCCTTACCTTCTTCTTGGTCCAAACCCTAACTCAGTAGGACCAGATGCTACTCCTACTGGCTGCTCGCTTTTGGGTTTCGAATAAGTGGGCACCAGACAATCACGTGCCCTGCGATACCACACTTTAGGCATTGGGCATTGTTCATTATTTCTTGCCACAATTCCTGTGTAATTCCCATCTTCTCCCATGGCCTCTCAGCCGCAATTCCAGGATGCTCGGGAAACGAGCGTGGCTTCTTCTTCTTTCCTGGTGGTTGTGGTCCTCCCTTGTTGACCACGACAGCAGTGACTTCCCCCTTTCCAGAATCATTGCTGCGCGCCACACCCTCGGCCTCCAATGGCCACTTCTCCACAGTATCGTCGTCAGGGTGTGGTCCTGGCGTTTTTGCGCCAGAGTAGTCGCTTACCTGCGCCTGCGCCTCCTCCACCCCCATACTTTTCTACAGAGGCGTAAGAATTCTTTACTTGTGAAGTCATTTGCTCTCGCTGGAGAGCCAAATCGCGAAACTGCCTATAATTGTACTTTTCGGATTTCGATTCTGCCACGAGTTGTCCATGAATGGGCTCGGGCAGAGTGCAGAAATAGATATACAAAACTTGGTTGTCTTGCAGGTTCAATCCAGGAACCTGCAGCAACCGATCAACCTCTTGGGACAGTGCTTCCACTGAGGTCCAATGTCTTTGTCCAATGGTGGTGAGCTGGTCAAAGGCCTTATCGGCCATTGTCTTATCCAAAAAGCGTTCCTTGATCTTACCAAGGAACTGCTTCAGAGTCAATGTTCTAGCCCATTCACCGATGTCATCGAACCCTGCAGCGTTAGCTTCGGCCAATACCCGTTCCTTAGCTTCCCCCTCGAGACAAGAGGTAGAGAAAGCAACCTGGGACTCAATTTCAACAGGGGCTGTGCTACAATATGTCTGAATTTCCGCTATCCAGAGCAACAAGTTCTCATCCTTCTTGTTGCAAAATGTGAATGACAATTTCATCTTCACTTTTTCTTTTCTTTTCGGTTTCTCCGGTTCTTATTTACCTTACCTTGCGGAGAAGCTGGAGGCTGTGGAGGTGGAGAGGAGGGAGGAGAAGGAGGAGTGTTCGGTGGAGAAGACGGTGGACTTGATCTCCCTCCATTAGACGGCTTCCCCCCTCCATTAGACGTCTTCTGATCCTGAGGATCAGCGGACTTCATTGCATCACTCATCAACTTTTTAACTTGTTTCTTTTCTTCCTTAACCTCTTCTCCTTTTTCTTCTACCTGATGCTTCCCTTTCACAATGTTTGTGACAGTTCGCAATCCTACAACAATTTCGTCTAACTGGCTTTGCTGTCTATCAATCTTCTCTTCCAAGAAGGTGAGGTAAGTCACGATGTGACACAATGTCTGTGTCATGTCAGTCTGTTCCTTCCCTTCTGTTCCTATCACTTGTCTAATTTCATTCACTTTCTGTTCCCTTCTCAGTTCCTGTTCATGTTTCCGAGCTAGTTCTTCCTTCTTCCTTTCTTCCGCAGCCAGCGCCTCTCTTAGTTGCTGGATGTTTGCGTCAATTGTAGCCTCGGTCACTTCTGGTCTGATTTCCCCTTTCCTAGATGACTCCATGACTTCTTCCAGCTGCTTGATTGCAAACTGGTCCAGCGCCTTTCGGCACTGAACTATCATTTTAGACACTTCGGTTCCGGCAGCAACAACTTCCACGGCCGTAATTGCTTGCTTTAGACGGTCCGCTACCGTCTTTAAATCAAACAGATTATGAACGTGTCGTTCGGCTTCCGGTCCGGACAAACGCAAATCATTCATTAGCTGGTCCCATAGAGCCAGTAACTCTTGTTTCTTTGTTTTCGCCTGTCTCCTAGTCTTGGGTTCGGAAGATCCTTCACCCATTAAGAATGTCATTGGAAAAAAAAACAAGAGTAATTTCCACACACCAAACATCTTGGAAATCCAATTTGAGACAATATTCGCAATAGTGGAACAGAAAAATAAAAAGGAACAGATCTCTACTTTTACTAATTGCTGTTCTTTCGTCTGTGTGATGACGTCCTATGAGTCTACAGATACCACGTCAGGCCCGTGTGATCAGACACAACAAACAAGTAAGTACGCAAGCACCACAACACAGCAACGATAAGGTAAGTATGCCAACAACAACAGCAAACAGTTTGCCAGCATCCTTCTTCAATCCGCTGTGTCTGTCTTCCTGGTGTCAGTGAGATGATGCACTCTGCCGGACAGCTGGCACTAAAGCTGGCACTACAGCTGTATAGTCGTCAGTCAGCTGTACTGCCGTCGTCTTCAGAATGCTTCTCTTACTTGGCAGTAATCCTGCCTGCCACGTGTCATCCCTGGAGTGCTAACACAGCAGTTCCTGCCATGTCAGCTCTTTCAATGTCCAGTCAACCAATAGCGGGATGCCACGTCAGCAAATGTGTATTCTGATCCTATCCACGTGCCACTTCCACGCGTCACATTGGGATACCGTCACCGTTCCAGCCAATCAGATCATGAGCCAAACGCGACAGACTCAGGCCTGGGCGTGTCCTGGTCACACAGCCCAGTGCAGACCAACTGTGGACTCCGTTGCCTGGGGCTGAGTTCTGAGCCCCAGACTACTTCTGAACAGGGTTACTGCAAAGGTAAAAACTGGAAAGTTTTGAGATTTCGATTTTCAACAACGGAAAAAAATGAGAAAAATCATGCTGTGCAGGGTTACCGGTGCTCGGCCTGGCCTGAACATAGGCTGAACGTTAGGCCCAGTCTGCAAAAAAAAAAAAAAAAAAAAAAAAAGAAAAAGAAAAAAAGATTAGAAATCCCCCAGAAAACTATGCTATGTAAAGAATAAACTGAGTAACATTTGCCTCGTGGTTACATCAAAATTCTTTCCCAAATTTAAAATAGAAATGAAAATAACAAAATAATGTTTTCGAATTGTTTTTTGTTTTTTTTTGTTTTGCACTCCTGGCCAAGTGGTCGTGGGCCACTGTTAGCCTAGAAAATAGTGCTTTGTGCCCCTCCCCCCCTTCTCTCTCTCTCTCTCTCTCTCTCTCTCTCT